TACTACATTCTTTTTTGATTGTGATATGTGTCTTAATTATTATTCCTTAGTGCATTATTTCTTTCTTTCGATCTCAATTCTTGACTCAGAAAGCCCTACCAAGCTGGGTAAGTGGGTAGCTGAAATACTGAATGGTTTGCTGGTCCCTTAGTGCCCCTTCATGTGGACAATGTGCTTCATAACCAAATAAATAAATAAAAGAAAGAAAGAGACGCCAAGAAACAAACATAAAAGACAGGAAAATGAAAATCTGTAAAATAGATTTTTATCTTGCTCTATTTAAAGTCGAGCTGATTAGTTTTACATTAAATATAAATTATTATTTTGTCTTATAACTTTTTGTATTAGTAAAAATTATAATAATAACAATAAGATTCAATTTTAACATCTTATGCATAATATCCTAACACTTCACTATTAGGTTCACCCCAATGATTTATTTTGTTTTGAAATGTATGTTACACAAGAAAAATGTATATTTTTATTTAGTTAAAATTCATAATAAATAAATGTTGTTAAATATATAAATTAAATTGCAATAAAATTTAAAGTAATAAATATATTTAAAAATATGTTATATTTTAAATTTAAAATAAACAATTTAAGTTGTATGTAGGTTTTAAAATACTTTTGCAATTAAAAGAGAATTTCTTTTTATACATAAATAGTGTAAAACTATTTTTATAGTATTATTCAATTAGAAATCATCAAGTAACTATTATAAAATTTATGCATAGGATAACTCTTTATTAATTGAAACTATAATTTTTTTTAGATTTACAGTGTAAGATCGTTAAATCTAAAAGGTTAAAAACCTAATTTGATCCCTTATAATATTTTTTTTGTTTCAATTTAGTCCACTTTAATTTTTTGTTTCAATTTGGTCTCTAACTGCAATGTCGGACTTCTGTCCAAATTATTTAAACGGAGTTATCTGTTGGCCACGTGGATGCCATGTAGATGCATAAGTGGATACCAAATTTCTTTAATGCATCTGGAACTAGAACGACCTGTTCTGCTTGCACTCTTGGTGTGCTAATTTTGCATCTGGAACGGCCTGTTCCAGATGCAAAATTAACACACCAAGAGTGCAAGCAGAATGGGCCATTCTGGTTTTAGAACGGGTCGTTTTGGTTCCAGAATGTCAAACACAAATGGTCAATGATTATAGTTCACGCCCGTGATTCTAAATCACGGTTGTGAATCGTGCAAGTAAAAAGACCCAAGGTACAAAACATTTCAAACACTGAATTTGGTAATATTGTCAATGGGGGATTGATAACTTCAATTGCTAAACATTTGGGCTATATAGTGTATCACTAAGGACAATGCAATGTATTACTAAGGACAATGGTGATAGGTTTTATTTCATTGTTAGTCAAACTGGAGTGAACCACTTACTACCAAATCGGCACTATACAGTCGAGGATGAAACGACATAGTATTTTCCCTTGGAGTCATTGACCGATGTACCCCAACAACAACAACCTATTCTTGAGGAGGTACAACCTGAAGTAGAGGAAAAGGACACATAGGACCAACATTTCACCACACAACCACATGTACAGGTTGATAATGCTAATATTCTGCCAGCCATTCAGTGTATGGATCGTCGATTGCAAGAGATGGATGAACACCAACAACACTATAATTATATGGTGGATAAGATGTATTATTGGCTCCTTCAGCGTTATCCAGATGTGATTTCCCTTCTCAGTAATTTCTTTGAACTTTCTTAGTATATGTTATGTTATGAATTTTTGTTTTCAGTCTCTGAACAATATTTCAGTCTTTGAATTTGTTATGTTATGAATTTTGTTTTCAATTTTTGAACCACATTGCTGCATTTTGTTGAACGTACGTATATGGTTGGTGTTCTGGAACGGTCCGTTTTGAATCCATAATGACCCGTTCTAAAACCAGAACGGGCCGTTCTGGTTTCAGATGCATTAAAGAAATTTAGCATCCACCTATGCATCTACGTGGCATCCACGTGACCAACAGTTAACTCCGTTTAAATAATTTGGACGGAAGCCCGACATTGCAGTAATTAAAATTATTAGGGACAAAATTGAAACAAAAAATTAAAGTAGAACTAAATTGAAACAAAAAAATATTATAAGGGACAAAATTAAGTTTTTAACCAATCTAAAATAAAAATACAAGGTTATAAATTCATCTAACACAAATTTGTTCCCCCAACCCTGCCGTCATAGTGTTTTGTATCCTCAAATATTGAAATACATATGTATTATTTTCTCAGTATTTTTTTTATTTTTATAAAAAGTCCTAAAATAAGTATTATATTAATTTTTTAATATAGAATTAATTATATTATTTTATTTATACCTCTCATAATACTTTTTAGAAAGTGTTGCATTGTATTGATTATAAGAAAGAAAATTAATTATAAGACTAATTTTATAAAACTGTTATTCTCTTTTATTTATTAGTTATTTTTAATTTGTATAAAATAACTTGAAATAACACTAATTATTATGAAATGGAGGAAGTGCATTTTAAGAAAATGTTGCACAAATCAAATTAAATAATGTGCTTTAACTACTTTCTATTTCATACGATTCAAAGTTACATCACGTTGAACTAATCAAAATGGATTGAAATTCATAAATTAATTTTTCTCATACTTTTAATACAGTAGTTAGTTATATAATAAAGTGTTTTTAAG